CCCCAGAATCCCCTGGCCCCTACAACTTCCCTTACCCTTGCACCCTCCTGGTGCCTCCCCCTTCCCTCACTGTCCCTGCCCCCTTTGCCCTTTTTTCCCTGATACCCATCCCCTCACCACCCTCTGCCCCCATTCCCCTCATGCCCCTGTGCCCTCACACATGACTTGCTCCAATCCCACCTTCCCCATGCCTACCCCTTCTGTCAAGCCTTCTCCCAGCACCTCCCCCTCCAATCCCCAGTGCCCTTACCCTCTCCTCATCCAGCATCACCCTGTCCCCCCTCCCACTGACACCTCCCCTCTTGCCCTTTTCCTCATTGTCTCCACTTCCCCCTAGCATTTGTGTCTCCTCTACCCTGTCCCTTTGGTGCCTTCCCCTTTCTTCCCCCTCTCTCCTCCCCCTCTGTACAAGCCCCTTCCCCTTCTTTCCTCCTCCACCCTCCCCCACCGCAAAAGCCCCTTCCTCTCCCACTCCTTCCTCTTATCCCCTCCCCCCTTACCTTCAGCTTCTGCCTTACAGCTTGCAGGGGCATCGCACAGTGCTGCAGGATGGGGTGCTGCGCGGTGCTGTAGGGTGGGGTGGGGATGCCCCAAGGGCGCCACACGGTGCTGCAGGGTGGTGCAGCACCGCCCTGTGCTGTTGTGCTGGGCGGGGGCATTCCCGGGCACCGCGCCGTGCTGCCAGGCCGGGTGGGGCCCAGGGCACAAAAATGGCGCGGGCTAGCTGGCCCAAGACATTAGGGTGTGCCCGGGCACACCCAGCACACCCCATGCGCATGCCTATGGAAGTGACTGCCTAGGAAGGAGTACTGCAGAAAGAGATGTAGGGATCATAATGGAATACAAGATAAATATGAACCAATAGCGTGATGCTGTTGCAAAAAAAGCAAACGTGCTTCTAGGATGCATTAACAGGTGTGTTGTGAGCAAGACATGAGAAGTCATTCTTCCGCTCTACTCTGTGCTAGTTAGGCCTTAGTTGGAGTATTGTGTCCAGTTCTGGGCACCGCATTGCAAGAAAGATGTGGAGAAATTGGAGAAGGTCCAGAGAAGGACAAGAATGATTAAAGGTCTAGAGAACATGACCTATGAAGGAAGACTGAAAGAATTGGGGTTGTTTAGATTGTAAAGGGGAAGACTGAGAGGGGACATGATAGTGGTTTTCAGGGTGTCACAAGAAGGGAGGAAAAATTGTTCTCCTTGGCCTCTGAGGATAGGACAAGAAGCAATGGGCTTAAACTGCAGCAAGGGAGGTTTAGTTTGGACATTAGGAAAAACTTCTTAACTGTCAGGGTGGTTAAACACTGAAATAAATTGCCCAGGGAAGTTGTGGAATTTCCATCTCTGGAGATATTTAAGAGCAGGTTAGATAGACATCTGTCAAGGATGGTCTAGATCAATGTTTCCCAAATGGTGAAAGTAAAGGTTCCGCGAGAACCGGATCACCACCCGCTGCCCCTCTTAAAGAGACAGAGAGCTGGTGCGCAAAGACTCCAGCTCCTTCTTTGGTTCCCCGCCAGCTTTCAGACATCTCCCTCCGCCCCCCACCTTTTTTTTTCTTTTGCTTGACAAATTTCCCCCTCATGCTGTAGGGGTTCCTCGAAATTCTTCCGAGTTTAAAAGGGTTCCATGGCCAAATAAAATTGGGAAACACTGGTCTAGACAGTACTGGGTGCTGACATGAGGCCAGGGGACTGGACTCTATGACCTCTCTGTGTCCCTTCCAGTTCTAGTGTTCTATGATTCTATGAAATTATGGGCCACTTGCCCAGGCATCAGTCAGACTCGAGGTAGCGGAGGCATCGATTTCCTCTAGCAGCAGAGATGAGTCTTTGGCTCTTCCTGTTGTTCACTGGAGTGTCTGTCTGCAGTGAATAGTTTTGTTCAGTTGGGATTCACATCACTTGCTTTGGCCAGTTACACATGTGTTTACAAATGAGCAATAACCTTAGAGTAAATCCATGGAAAACACACCAGGCATGTGCTAGCTATTTATAATAGGTGCTTGAATGCAAAACTCTGTTTCCATAAATATATTATTTTCCTTCCATTATTCCCTTTCTTGCATGCATGAGCAAACACACACAGTGCTGTTATCACTGATTCTTTTTAGAGGGCATTAATGCCTCCGATTTGGGGGAAAACCTATTGTCTTAAATAGACAGAAGGAATTGGAGACAAGATAGATCAAATTTTGAGCCTTTTAACCTAATAATGCCCTTTTAAAGTGCCATCTAATATGCAATTATGTACATATATGTAAAACAAATATGTATATTAAACTAATTACTTGAATCCTAAATCTGAAACATTTGTACTTCTTACAGCTCTATGCTTATTTTTTTCTTTTCATATGGGCCTAGATAAGGGAAGCTAATCTGGATATAACTTTGGACAAAATGAGAACACAAAGCTCTGAAAATAAGCTGACAAATCTTTTGGGAAAGGCCTTTGCTTTTCTGGATGTCATTAAAGCTGGGTATGTATTCAGAATTGTTGAAAATGCAATAAACTTTCTGAGGGCTTGTCTATAGTGTTTACTGCACTGTAACTTTCTCACTCGGGGGTGTGAAAAAGCCACATCCCTGAGCACAGCAAGTTACAGTACTATAAAATGCCAGTGTAACAGGTTCCCAGCACTGTTAGCTACTCTCTGCATTTTGAATGTGTTTGTACAAAAGCCAAAATTGCACTAGCTATTTCACCTTCAGGAAGACTAATGTTAAATAATGTACTCTCCTGTCTTATTGCATTTGCTCAGTATGGGCAACAAAATATTGTGCAAAACGCCACCTGTTTTAAAGAGTTGGGAGGAAACAACAAATAATTATGGGATTTTTAAACATTTCTTTCATTTGAATTTCTTAGGTTTACATCATTAGTTTTCTGTATTGTGCTAAGCTAGTCCAGGACATGCTATCATATTACATTAATGATTTAATCACAAGTACATTGCAGTAGCTCTGGAAAGTCAAAATCTTGGGTAGTGAGACTGCATAGGTCAAGAAAGTTATTTATGCCTATTATTTCACTTCTAGATCACATATTAGATGCAAGTGTGTATGATGTTCACATTTAATTTTTAGTACATTATGTAATGATTTCTCTTAAATAGTGACCTGATATTTGACAGGTATGAGGCCTTTCACCAAGATCTAGTGAAGATAGTAACATCCTACCCAGATGCTATACTGAAGGAATTGATTTCTTATAGTGCATCCATAGGCCAGTATTTTGGCGTGAAGGAAGTCTATAAACAGGTATAAAAGCAAACTTTCTTATGATTTAAAATCTGGCTGGTGCATTGTTGTTTCATATTTGGGGAAACTTGCATTCAAATCCATAAAATTTGATCTATCAAAGGCTAGATCAAATGAAAGAGCTTTGGCTACCGATTGCCTATCTGCGAGCATCTCATTGGAGACTCTTCTCTGGAAGGACTTGTAGTTTTTGAGACGTGGGTAATAAGTCTTTTTGTAAGCAAACCTTTGCGATGTCATCTTCTGTAATTCATGTATTTAGCAATCTTGACAGACTACTATGTAGCACTTTAAAGACTAACAAGATGGTTTATTAGGTGATGAGCTTTCATGGGCCTTCCTCAGATCAATTTGCGGAAGAAAATTGGCACCACCATAAATACCAAAGTGATACAATCAAAAAAATGATTGCATGTGAAATTGACAAATCAAATTTTAGAACAGAGTGGGGATGAGGGGGTAAGGTTAGTGTCTGTGAGATAATGACATAGGGGTGATAATTGGGAAAGCTATCTTTGTAATGGGTGAGATAATTAGAGACATAAGACTCTCACAGAGAGAAAGCTGTTGCTTGCCATTTCAGCCAGACTGACCATTCCCTCAACGACCTTAAAACATGCATATTGCATCAAAGAGACTTTAACTCCAGACTTCAACTGAGAAACTTCAGAATTGTCATTCATGCTTAAATTTGATACTTTATGTATGGGTCTAAACAAAGACTCTAATTATCTCACCCATTACAAACATAGCTGAAAGTTAGATGACAGTGTAGAAAGTGAAATAAATAGGTTTGAGGATGGAGACAATCCTGCACAAGAGTATGAAGAAACTAATTATTCAAAAAATATTCTTCCTGAGTGTGAGGTAGATCTAACCAGAGTTTGTCTCTTTGTCTGTTTGATCAAGAACTCCTCCTAAAGGGTAAGAGCTAGCACCACCAAATATGGTTTGCAGTTTCCGCTTATCATCACTTAAAGCAATATAAGGGTTTGGTTGTTCCAGGAAAACGGGATGTGCCTGGAGTGGGATTGCTTGTCATAATACCAAACAGAAAAGAGACAGAATCACCACATCAAATACATAACTGGGCAAATGTTGAAAGAGATTGAACCAGGATGAGCCAGAAAACTAGGATGAACCTGGAATAGGATTGCTTCTCAATGAACCTTACAGAAAAAGATACAATCTGGAATAGTGCTCTGTTTTGGCACAGCTAAATCAATGCTTAAGGTTTGAAAATTAGAAGAAAATGTTATTGAAAACAAAATTGACTATAGCCCTTTTTTATTAAAACATAGCAAATGATAAGAATTTATAGGGATGATGGAAAACATACACTTGATGGAATTCCCATTTAAAAATACTAAAAAAATTAAACAGAAAAATTTTAACAATCCCTTTTTTAAGAAATCTGAAATAAAACTTAACTTCATAAAAATAACACTGTATTTTTTCTAAACTACAATCATTTAAAAAAAGCATGTGCATTTTCCTTTTATTAAAAAAAACAAACCTTAATAGAGTTAAGGAACTGAGCAATTGCCAGGTAAATCTACTTGTTTACTGTATATTTGAGAGTCCATCTGTCTGTCAATCCATGTGTCCATCTGTCTGTTCAAGAACTCTTCCTAAATGGTAAGAACTAAAACCACTAATAAGATTCCCCTTATCATAACTTAAAGCAAGGTAAGGGTTTGATTGTGCCAGGAAAATGGGATGTGCCTAGAATGGGATTGGTTCTCATAAAACTAAACAGAAAAGAGACAAGAATCACCAGGAAGGTGACATGGACTGGCTGGGGATGTGTCCCTCTGTCCAGGACTGCCGCAGCCCTGAGCCTTCCACTCCTTAAGTGCCCTTTAGGGAGAGCGGAGAAGGCTGGCGGTCCCCTCCCCTATTTCAAAATGGAACATCGGTGGATGTTTCCCTTCATTAAGGAAAGTGAACAGTTTGCTGCATTCCTCATTCTGGAAGAGGAGCACAGGGAGCAGACAAACCTGGACCTGCCACTGCCAGAGTTAGGAAGGGTGGAGGGGCCTGAAGCTCCTCCCTCTTCCCCAGTTCATACGGGAATTTCGTTGGCTGTTCCCCTTCATAAGGGAGCAAGGGAAAAGTGCACAGTTTGCAGCATTCCTCACTCTGGCTGGGAGCATAGGAGGGCAGATGAACCTGCACCTGTCCAAGCTGGAGGACATACACCCCTCCCCTGGCCATGACCTTTGCAGCAGCTATGAACAGGCACTTCTCCCCTGGCCCCAAGGTGTTGAGGTAAGAGAAGTCTATGGAGTCCTCTCTCCCTAGAGAAGCCTGAATACTGAACCCCTCCTCGCAAGCCCCACCCCAGCGCAATGATATAAGTGATATAAATGGAGAGAAACCAAACTTGAGCTAAGACCCAAGCAATGCTGGGTAAATCTTTCAATTTCTTCAGAAAGGTAAATCAGTTTCAGCACAAATTCAAACCTTTTTGGTGTTTATACAGCCAAAACAGATGTGGGTCTTTACTGCATTAGTTTGGTGCTGTTCTATAATATGTTCCTACTTTCAAGAGCGTCTAGAGCGTCATTGTGCAGCGGTGGTGGAAGCACTGAACAAGGAGAAAAATGCATTTTTGAAAATCCAAGAGGATCAGAATGACATCAGCAAGAACTTCCGCAAAAGGATCCAGGACATGGAGACCACCTTTCTCAGTTCCACTAAGGCTGACAAGTAAGCACATTGTGGCTACGTCTAGACTGGCATGATTTTCTGCAAATGCTTTTAATGGAAAAAGTTTTTCCGTTAAAAGCATTTGTGGAAAAGAGCGTCTAGATTGGCACGGACACTTTTGCGCAAAAGCACTTTTTGAGAAGAAGCGTCCATTGCAATCTAGACGCGGTTTTGCGCAAAAAAGCCCCGATCACCATTTTCACCATAGGGGCTTTTTTGCGCAAAACAGTTTTTAGCTGTCTACACTGACCCTTTTGCTCAAAAGTATTTCCAGAAAAGGGCTTTTGCCCGAACAGGAGCGTGAAAGTATTTGCGCAAGAAGCACTGATTTTGTGCATTACAAAGTCAGTGCTCTTGCGCAAAATCAAGCGGCCAGTGTAGACAAGTTTTTCCACAAAAGTGGGTGCTTTTGCGGAAAAACTTGCCAGTCTAGACACAGCCTGTGAGTCTCATGATTTGTGTAGTTTCCCACTCGTGGACTGCATCTTGCATCTGCCTTATCCCAGATTTCCTGAACAACAGCACGTACCATTGTCATTCTCCCACTGGGATAGTTTGAAACGTTTATCTTACTATTTCATTGCCACACAGCTCATTTGAGGTATGAACATTTGACCTAAGATTCTTTATAATTATTGTCCAGTTCACCTTCAGCTGGTCCATAACTCTGAGTGGGACACTCTTTACCAAATTTTTTTGTCTAATGTACAGTCATGTGACCCATGCAAGATTGAATTTAGCATTACTCATGAAAAGCAGAAGTACTGAAATCAATTTTAGCTGCCCATAAAGTCGACGAACAGTCTTGCTGGTGTGGACTTATTGTTTAGAAATTCAACCTAATGCGGCTGTGTTCAGACTAAACTCCCAGGCTTTGTCTACGCTACAAGTTTTTGCCAGAAGAGTCAATGCAAATGAAGCACTGATTAGCATTTTGTCACGCTTCATTTGCATAATCTATTCTGAGCCATTTTTGTACAAGAGGTTTTTGTGCAAAAGCAAGCAGTGTGGCCGTGGCTGTTGTGCACAAAAAAAGTCCACAATGCTTCTTTTTGTGCAAAAAACCCTTGTGCAAATATGCTAATGATGTCACAACTTATGCTAATGAGTCCCTCATTCACTATTTTCTGCCAAAAAAACTTGTAGTGTAGACATAGCCCCAGTGTAAACTAGGCCCATAAATATGAAGAGGCAAAATAAAGCATCTTATAGATTTCTTTATCTCCTAGCTAAGAAACTAAAGTCAGTGGTGAAATTTATAATAATTTTAGAATACAGTAGGAAAAGCTTGTGTCGTGTATCCAGATTTCAGCCAGGCTACCTACCTTGGATGCTAGTAGTAATTGACAAGCTAGGTTATGTTAACACCTGTATGAGAGTCATCTTAAGTAAGGTTGACTGATGGCTAGTAGTTTATATTCAATTGTCGGGGAAATCTCGCTCCCCTGGGGTACAGAGCCCCCAGAAGGGTCCGAGCTGGAGGTCAAAGCAGTGAGGCAGGAGAGAAACCTAGAAGGAAAACTTTATTATGCATGCATGCAGGCTGACAGCTACCAGAGTGAGCAGCAGCAGCCCTGAGACAGGTTCAGGGATCCTTTATACAGTATGCTCAGACAGGTTAGTTGTTGATTGTTTTCCTTAACATATCAAAATCTCAGCAGAAGTACTCTGAGACCTTTTTGTTCACACCAGGAGTGCTAGAAGTAAGTTTTACAGAACAAAGGCACATGAGAACTTGAGTGGAGGAGTCTACAAGGGAAACTGTGACAAAGATAAGGGTTTACATGACAAATTGTGACAGACTAGGAGTCTTCATGAACTTGAGATAGGAGGCATTGTAAGGGTCTTGATTAGAGTTAAGATGATTTCTCTCTGTTACAGGGAGAGAGGCCTGGAAAACTTTTAACCCTTACAGCAGTTTTCTTTTAGAGAGTTTTGATTTCCTGCACAGTGTCCCCCCTTAGACACAATTGGAGTTATTTGATTTTTTCCCCCACACTATATGCTGCCACATCAAAACATTTGTAATGGAAGGGAAACAGAAGCAGACTGATTAAATCTTCAAACCTCAGCCTTTGGAAAGGAGTGTCTGCTGTTCCATAGATTTCCCTGAATAAGCTGTGGTTTGTCATTTGCTTTTAGGTTGGTTGCGCTAAGTAACTCTCTGCACTCCAAACTGCTTAATCATGTAGAAGTTATCCAGATATCCCTGTGGAGTTACTGGAACTATTTAGATGAAGCCTTGGGGAAACTAAGAGATTCTAAGGTGGACTTTCTGAAAGCTTGCAGGTATAAGGGGGAGGGAGATGTGAATGTTTTTGTTCCTGTAGCAATCTCTGTTCACCAAATATGTACAGTTTTATTCCTCTCTCTTTCTTTCTCTCCCTCCCTCCTTGTCTCCTTACCTAAATTCTGCAATTTGTCAAGTCAGCACAATAAAATTAAAGTTAATCTTTTCAAAATATATATTATTAGTATTTTTATCCTATGAAAATATATATAATAGGGACTGCTTTGCCATGTATTCTTTGAAGGGAGATGGAAGAATCGTAGAAAATTACTTTATTTTTTCACCTTTTGTTTTCAGATTATTTTCAGACGGAGGTAACTTTTCTCCAGAAGAGGCAGAGTTCTTCTGTAAGCGTCTGGACAAAGAATCAGGATGCATTGAATTCACTGAAGGCTTAATCATGATTGACATGGAGAAAATGGAGTCAAACTACTTAGAACAAGTGGGGAGATCTTCATACCCTTCTAATGTTCAAATTCCTGGCTGCACCTAGTGAAACTTTTCTAATCCCTTCTGTTCCTAGATTTTGGTTCCTAGATTTGTGGTACCCCTAACTCACCCAGCAATATCATCAATATATCCAACCACACACACAGCCCAACAGAAGAGTCTGTCCTATCTCGGGGACTCTCTTTTTGCCCCACCACCCCCACAAACATGATACAGTTCTGCGGTGATCTGGAAGCCTACTTTCGTCGTCTCTGACTCAAAGAATACTTTCAACACAACACTGAACAGTGCACTGACACACAGATACCCTCCCACCAACAGCACAAGAAGAAGAACTCCACATGGACTCCTCCTGAGGGTCGAAATGACAGTCTGGACCTATACATAGAATACTGCCACTGATGTGCATGATTCTTAGGGGATACAGCAACAATGCAATGAGGGTTGCGATGGCAACTCAGATAGGCATGTCTACATTCATTTCAATCTAGCTGATATGGCTAAAAATAGTCATACATTCTAATAGAGCAAGGACATTGGAGACACAAGGAGAGTGAGGTAATAACTTTCACTTCTTTTGGTGGGAGAGACAAGCTTTCAAGCCACACAGAGGTCATCAAGTCCTGAAGCAGAGAGTGACTGGAAATCAACACACTCTTAGAGCCCCGACAGGGGTTATTCTATCTACTATCCAAGATCCACAAACCTGGAAATCCTGGATGCCCCATCATCTCGGGCATTGGCACTCTCACTGAAGGACTGTCTGGATTTGTGGACTCTCTACTCAGACCCTATGCTACCAGCACTCCCAGCTATCTCCGGGTATGTCTACACTACCCTCCTAGTTCGAACTAGGAGGGTAATGTAGGCATACCGCACTTGCAAATGAAGCCCGGGATTTGAATTTCCCGGGCTTCATTTGCATAAGCGGGG